GATTTAGCCTTTTGCTCAATAGGAGGTGTGCAAAGTCGACATGCTGACCTAGATGATCCATAGTGCTATTTATGTGTTGGTGTTATGTAGGCGTGTGCACACATCCTTTCAATCTGGTTGGCACTTTGTAGTATTATGTTGAACACTTGAACATATTACTTTTGATGAGCTTATAGATAACCAGAGAGTGAGTAGCTCCAGGAATATAATGACTCCATTTACTTTTTGGCCATTGAGAACTCTACTTTTTCTACTGATAAGGTGATCCTCCTCCTGCAAAAAGAGGGGGGGGTATGATTTTTATCTGCTGCAGTTATGAGGTCCAATGGTAGATACAAGATTGGAATTTGAAGTGTGAAGGAGTACGACAGCAGTTGCAAGGGCCAACAGTTCTAAACTCTATACCCAAAAGCTCGAAGCTCTGAGCTGAATCCGAGGAGTTGACGCAGAATCTGATGGTTAGGGGGGGAAAAAAAGGAGCTAAAGGTAAGACCTTTCAACCTATTTTCATGTAAGATGACATGATTGGAGAGGAAGATGACATTTGTTAGGGGGAAGATGCTATGTTTTGGTTATATGTCTGAAGGACTAGTTGTACAATGAAGAAGAGTTTTGGGAGAAACATCGAATTTTTCTATTTACCTCAATTGATTTGCCTGCTTATTTCGTGGTATGCCTTTGACACTGTAAACACCTCCTCGGTCGTCTTTATGGCTTCTTTGAAGCAGAATGCTTCTCTAGTCTTGTACACGCCTTTGAGCTTGAAAAATGCAAACCTCTACCATTTTTTCCATCATGGGGTGGTTTTGACTTTTGATTTTTCATACCCTTTCACTGTACAGTGCTTGTCCGTGCCCAACACGCATGGAAACTCATTGCGTTTGTTCTACCAGAAGGACTCGGAAAGTAATCTTCTTGAAAGTATATCCTGTTTCAACTGACATATTCAACTTCAGGAAATGCGTTGGGCTAGTCGGTGATGTAAGCTTAAATTCAAGGTGCAAGCCGCATATTATTCTCCCCTCATTTTATCACAAATGTAATTGAAAGGGAGCTAGATACTATCACGAGTTGGATCGTATCAAGTAAAGTATGATGTGGCAATAGAAACTACGTATGCAATTGGTTTTATAATTGCATTGACGTAGATGCTCTAATCAGGAGACATTTATCTCATCCTATCAAATGTGTAGGCATTGAATCATTTCAGGGTTCGTTTTGTCTATTATAACAGGATGTCCATCTTTGAGAATTATCACTAACTTAATTGTCACAGGTGATCGCTTGGAGATGTAAATGACTAGTTACGAAGTGAATTATGCTCTCATAGGTAGAGTTCGAACCTCTATTCTTTATAATTAAAAAAACAGAATGAGTAACCATAATTTCATATCGATTATCGAAATTCTTAAGGATTACTAAATTATACCGTACTGGCAAAGTCAGATGGTAAAAACTGTTTATTGCCATCCAAGCTGGTATAATACACAAATATTATGAAAATATTATTCTAGTTGGTTTTGGGCAGTTTAATTGACTCTTTCCAGCGACCCCATCTGGTGGTTTTGGAGGTATAATGTTGGTTGGCTATTTTATACCATTCAAATACCTTATTTCTATTTTGCTCTGTTAGGACATTCGGTACTATTTTATATACTCGTACATTGCCCAAGTTAACGGAATAATAACTGATTGGGGTTTAAAGGTTAAATGCAGACATTGGAAGTTGAATGCTTTGAATGAAAGCCGGCAGACTATATATATAGTGGTTACTTCGGTGCACTCACTTTTTCGGGTGCACTTAGTGGGGTTAATTGCAGTACATGCCATTTAAGTTTCAGTCTAGTTGCACGTAGACCACTTATATTTTATTAGTTGCAACTAAAGTATTTAAATCCAACTTTTGTTGCAACATTATCTTTTCCGTCTAAAACTTAACGGCGGGTATCAAAAAGTAATTTTTCCTGCCCAGTGGAAATCCAACTCAGCCTGAACTATTGAGTCAAAGCTGATGCTATACCAAAAGGAAAACAGAAAAAAAAAAACCTGCTCATCATAGAGCGAAGATGCTCAAACACTGCATTATCATTCTATGGATCTCATCACCCCCTCGGCCCCTTCTCCAACAACATATAATAGCAAAGAGGCACTGCATTGGATAAATTAATCAACCAACCCCATTTCAAGTTGCGAGTAGAACAAGACAAGAATAAATCAAAAGGGGGAAAGAATTTCACTCCATTGAACTGTCTTTTACTTGGATCAGCTTTCCTGCATTGCTGCGGAGGAGTCGCCTACTGTGGCAATTCATCTCCCCGCCTACTGCTGCCAATATCCCTACTCCTCACCAGAATACCACGTCGATTGCTGCTCAATCGAGTGAGGCTTATCCATTTCGACATCTACCATTCTTCTGCAACGCTTCCTACCTAGTTGGAATAATTTGCAGCACATCGTATTCGTCGACGGATGAAAATAGCAAAAACAAAGTATTCCTCACGTTGGTTCCCCTCAACAAGGATTTCGACTGGAGTATAGAATTTATTTCTGGCGTTGCAATTGAGTATTTGTTCGTACTCTGTTTCTCCTGTATCGAAACAGAGGCAGGATTTTTCTTATCCTGAAAGTTCGGGTGTCCTTTGAGTTAATTTTTGTTCGAATGAGGATGACATTGTGTTCTTTCCATTCCAATTTTGGGAGACCATGGCATGATGATTTTCTCACAAGCGAGGACAAAGGCTGCCATGGCGACGACTATCAGAAACCTCATACTTCTTCTGCCGACATGGGATCTCTGGGTCATAGCAGCCCTAGCTGTAGGCTGTAGCCATTCCCAAGTTCATCAAGAAATGGGTTGCTCAGCAGATCAAGTACCTAACAAGGAAACCTTAAAATAACTCTAAGAGAGTACCTTTAATGGCTTTCCATGGTCGACGTCGGAGCTTAAAATCGCTTGCCCACCAAGCTTTCTGATGCATTTCAGTCCACTCTCAGCTGCTACTGTCATCATGTTCAACTTTCAGCGTCGCAACCCCGGGAAAGCAACAAGCTTAATATCGACCTTGTTGTTCAACAATATTACAAGCAGACCGCACCAAAAACAACAGCGTCGATTTAAAACCAGGTCGTACTAGATGGCCGCTTCCCTTCCAAATATCCATTTCATGCTAAAAAGAACTGAAGAAGATCGTCCATGTAAGCTGCTCTATCTGTTATTGATGACATAAAGAGGAATGACCTTTGAGCTCGCAATCTTCTGCTAATGGGGTTAGCTACTCGGCTTCACTTGCTATAGTTATGGCGCTGTAACTGTTTCAAATCCCATTTCCAATCTCAGCTCCGCCGGTGTCGAATCTTCTTTTTGTTTTGATTTTAGGTTTTATCTTCAATGTCTTTTAATCTTCTTTGTTGTGGGGTGTAGGTGAGTTTGCTTAATTGTACGTGACTCAGCAATCTAGACTGAGCTGGAATGCTGACGTGGTTGGAAAATTACATATTCATAATCATAGTTAAGTTTTTGGACAAAAAAGATAATTGTGCAACGAAAATGGGATTTAAGTGGTTTAGTTGCAACCAAAAAGTTATAAATGGCTAACGTGCAACTAAGCTCAAACTTAAATGACATCCGCTACAATTAACCCCACTTAGTGCACTCAACTTTGAAAGTGTCCATAATACATCAAATTTTGAACTTTAATTAGTACTCTCAATCTAATATGATGATATGATATAGAATCATAACAAATCAATCTATTACCCTAACCATTTAACCTTCAATTTTTAATCCCAACACAAAATCCCAAATTGTAATCCTAAACCCTAACCCTAAATCCTAAGTCCTTCGAATTAAAGTAAATTTTGAATGAATTTTTTTCAAATTCACGTGCTTCTTGTTCATAATATCATAAGCAACAATTGATACCGTTTTGACATGAATCGCATGCTCAGAATAGCAATTATGAGGCGGGTGCACTGAGTGCACCCAAAAAAGTGGGTGCACAGAATACACCACCATATATATATTGTCATTAGATACCTTCATTAGAGAGAGTGAACAAAGATCAACAGTGTACAAGTAGTCAAGTACAAATAGCCTACTGGCAGGACCAAGGTTGTCAACCAGCGGGTTGGCCCGGACCAAACCTTAAAAACGGGTTAAAATAGCCCATTTGAGAGTTAGTCCGAAAATGGTCAAACCCGAGAAAACCCAGTCAGACTCGGGAAAACCCGGGCGGTTGGCCCGTCCGAGCGGGTCAGCGGACTGCTCGTTCCAAAGTGTCGTTGAATTTTTACTATGTTGAATTTAAGTCGATGTTATTTAAGTGTGTTGTAGTTTAAGTACGGTTGTTTTTTATGTTGGATTCAAAATAAGTATAATATAATGACTTTTTCATATTTTTGCAGCTAAACTGGACTAAAACGAGTGACCCATTAACCCTTGATCCACTATCTTAACCGGATCCGGGTCTACCGCGTGTTGAGAACCTTGGACAAATTCAGAACCTTGCGAACAAACATTCAAAGGAGCAAAGGCCCATGACCAAGAGGCCCAAACCTCAGACTGTGGGATCCAATAGACGGGCCACACGAATCACTTGTTAGCAATTGACCCTTCCAACGCTTACCACCAGACCAGTCCAGCGAATTCTACGCTCCCAGTCGCCTGGACTTGTCCATTCTAACTTCTAACCCCCTACCGATTAGCTTCTGAATTCTGAATTCTCTTTTTTCCACGCAAACATCTGTCTACGTCATAGAGACACCTGAGCTCTGAGGGTAACTTCTCTGCAATCTCCCACAGAAAATTCTGCCTTCTGACTCTCGACTCTTTCACTCCCCCAACAATGTTGGCGACGATCTCAGCCCTTCCCTCCCTATATATATATTTCTAAATCCAGCCCGTCCCCTTCATCCAACATTCCATTTCCTTTATTCAATTCCTTCTCTTCCTCCATTATCAATCAATTGCAAGTTAACTTCAGCAACCTCTGTTTCCCGCGATGGACGCCTCGCCGTTAGCGATTCGAAAACAAACCACCGCCCAGTTGCCGCCCTCCCCACTCCAACCCAGGAGAAGAATCAGGGCATGGAAACTGAACCTCCGCGCCACCTGGCGCTCCCTGAAAACCACCTTCTCCCGCACCCTTCTCAAACGGCTCCACCACAGCCGCAAATCATCATCATCCGCCAAAAAACAGAGTCGAATCACCCCCGCCAAAAAACAGAGCAACGCCGGTGGCGGAGGCGACATCCGCCCCCACAAACCACTCGCCCATCTCCTCCAAGCTCCCTACACGGCCTCCGATTTCATCGACTGGGGCGACCGAATGACCCCCACGTTCTCACCCAAGCGCGACATCTCCGCGCGGTGGCACGACCTCCACGGCGCCGGCGACTGGGCCGGCCTCCTCGACCCGCTCGACCCGGCCCTCCGCGCCGAGATCCTCAAGTACGGCGAGTTCGCCTCCGCCACCTACGACGCCTTCGACTTCGACCCGCTCTCGGAGTTCTGCGGAAGCTGCAGGTACAACCGCCACAAGATGCTCCACGAGCTCGGCCTCGCCGCCAAGCACGGCTACACCACCGCCACCCGCTACATCTACGCAATGTCCCACGTCGACGTCCCCAATTGGCTCGCCCGCACCTCCACCACCTGGAGCAGAGACTCCAATTGGATGGGGTACGTCGCCGTCAGCGACGACATCGAATCGAGGCGAATCGGCCGTAGGGACATCGTCGTCGCCTGGCGGGGGACGGTGGCGCCGTCCGAGTGGTTCAGCGACCTCAAGGCGAAGCTCGTCCGGGTCAACGACGCCGTCAGAGTGGTCAAGGTACAAGAAGGGTTCCTCTCTGTTTACAAATCGAAAGCAGAGCACACTCGGTACAACAAATCCAGCGCTTCAGAACAGGTAATTGAAGAGCTAATCAAGCTGGTGAGAACTTACAGAGAAAAGGGTGAGGAAGAAATCAGCATCACGATAACAGGACACAGCTTGGGAGGCGCGTTGTCTCTGTTAACAGCTTACGAAGCTGCGTGTTTAATTCCTGACGTTTACATCAGCGCAATCACATTCGGCGCTCCCAGAGTTGGGAATTTGGCATTCAGGGAGAAGATGAAGGAATTGGGGGTGAAAGTTCTGAGAATCGAAGTGGAAGAAGATATTGTACCGAATCTGCCTGGAATTGTGATGAACACGGTTCTGAGGAAGCTGTCGATTACGAGGAGGTGGAATTGGATTTACAGGCACGTCGGGATGAAGCTGGAGCTGCACGTTTCGAGCTCGCCGTACTTGAAGAAGGAGTTTGAGATAGCTGGGAGCCATAACTTGGAGGTGTATCTTCACCTTGTGGATGGATATGTGAGTGAAGGGGCCAAGTTTAGGTGGAATGCGAGGAGGGATTTGGCGCTGGTGAATAAGAGTACTGATATGTTGATACCGGAGCTCAAGATTCCTGAGTTTTGGTATCATTTGCCTTACAAGGGATTGGTGCTGAACAAGTATGGGAGATGGGTGAAGCCAGGGAGAAAGGTTGAAGACATTCCTTCTCCATTTTCCTCCGAGTTATTATCTAGTCACGAGCCTATACTTGAACTCGTGGAATCTTAATGGACATAACATAATGGATTTTTCTCAAATGTTGTAGGGAGAGTTAATTGTAGTCTAGATCACAAAATAAAGGGTAGTTTGTTTAGTATTTTGCCAATGTAGTATTTGTTAAGGTAGATATTTGACAATTTATACATTTTTACATAGGTTGTTTGTTAAAAAAAAATTATATGAGTTCGTTTGCATAATGTGCTGTTTTGCCATTATATGTAATATGTTTTATGTTCTAGTTTTTTTTATTTTTATAAAGTTAACCATAAAAATAAAATTTATTTTGAAAACGACATGTAATATATCATTTTTCAACCCAAACATAACCTATATTTGAAACCGGTCTTCAAAATAGCTAGTAACGATGATTTTACTAGAAATAATTGAAAAGTATTAATGAGAAATAATTGAAGAGAATTATTTTGAGTAATTGGAAAGTACTAAGTTTATGAAGACAAAATAGAAAAAGGTTAATATTGGGTATATTTAAAAAATGGGCCAAATTACACGTTTGGTCACTCAAATTATACAAATCTTTCACGTTTGCCACCCGAATTACTTTTCTTTCTTATTCGCCACTAACTTTACGAATCGTTTCACGGTTGGTCACCGGCCGTTACACTCCGTTAAGTTTGTCCTACGTGGCAGTCAACTATAAAGTTTGACCGTTAACTAGATGACGTGGAAATTAAAAAAAAAATTTAAAAAATTCTTTCCACCTGATCATTGCACTTATTTTGTCTATATAATTTATCATATTAATAATTTAATAAAATTTAATAAATTACAAAAAAGGGCAAATCTAATAAAGGAAACAATCAACGCCATTGCTAGGGATTTGATTTGATTAAGGGTGAATCACGGGTGGTCTCCTCCTCCGAATGCAGTGGCAAGGAGGCGGGCGGCGAATCGAAAAGCAACGGCAGCGAGGGAATCTCGCACCCGTCTCTCCTTGGGGAAATCAAAAAAACCCTTTCAACTCCCAATTTCAATTCGGAATAATGGCCAAGAAGCGCCCAGTAGAGGAGAACCCACCGCCGCCGCCGGAGTCGGAGGAAGAAGAAGAAGACGAGGAGGGGAGCGAAGTGGAAAGCGAATCCACCGATGACAACCACACGTCCTCTGCTGCCGCTGCCGCTGCCAGTCATGGGAAGAAGGCGTTGGACTCTTCCGACACCGAGTCCGACGCCGAGGCCGAATCCAGTTCGGGTCGGTCTTCTCCTTCGGCTTCCGCCTTTCAGTTGAAGCCCGTCACCCCCGCAAAGATCAAGAAGCCCACCCCCGCCGCATCAACCGATCCCGAAGCTGCCACCGACAAGAAGAAATCTGCTGCCATCAGTGGCGGGAACGAAGAAGAAGAGGAGGAGGAGGAAGTAAGAAAAGGCAGCACTCAGGGGCGTTGGAGCGAGAGCGACGAGATTGCGCTCCTTAGCGGGATGATTCAGTACAAATCTGAAAGGGGTTCCGATCCCTCTTCTGATATGGCTGCTTTTCTCGATTACATCGAGAAATCGATTCAGAACAAGGTCTCCAAGACCTCCCTCTTCTGATACGGCAGCGACGAATTCAAGAGAGCGGAGGAAGATTCCCTCGCTGCCGTTGCTTTTCGATTCGCGGCCCGCCTCCTTGCCACTGCATTCGGAGGAGGAGACCACCCGTGATTCACCCTTAATCAAATCAAATCCCTAGCAATGGCGTTGATTGTTTCCTTTATTAGATTTGTCCATTTTTTGTAATTTATTAAATTTTATTAAATTATTAATATGATAAATTATATAGACAAAATAAGTGCAATGATGAGGTGGAAAGAATTTTTTTAATTTTTTTTTAATTTCCACGTCATCTAGTTAACGGTCAAACTTTATAGTTGACTGCCACGTAGGACAAACTTAACGGAGTGTAACCGCCGGTGACCAACCGTGAAACGATTCGTAAAGTTAGTGGCGAATAAGAAAGAAAAGTAATTCGGGTGGCAAACGTGAAAGATTTGTATAATTTGAGTGACCAAACGTGTAATTTAGCCTTTAAAAAATAAAGACTAAAAGATTGATTCACATATCACCACTACTTCTCGATTCCAACAAAAACCATTCACAAATGGCTGCAATTGCTCCACAATTCCACCACCAACCATTCATATCTTGTTGCATGTCCTCCACAGTGGCCAATTAGTCATGTCAGGCTTCTCCTTCTCCACAACTTTGCTCAGCATGCAGTCCCTATTTGAGAAAGAGGGAATAATCGGCCGGAGTGGAGGTCTTCAAATCTTATAAAAAAAAACCCATAAGAATCCAGAGAATTCAAACCCAACCCCTAATTGAAGAAGAATCGCAGGTTCCAAACCCAACCCCTAATATGTTCCCATATCACACATTCACTGCCAACGGAGCTCGCCACAATTCACCCCTATTCATCCAAACCCAGAGCCATGTCAAAACCTATAAATTGGAGAAGAGCCAGGGGAGGGAATCAAACGACAATGAGTTATTTCGTTTGTCGCCGCTCTCGCTCGGACATGCGGAGGTCTTTAAAGGAAGATGAATCACTTTTGTTTATCTTTTGGCGCCTCGTCGTCGTTGTCCCCCTTTCCTACTATATGACTGCTCCACTTCCGTTCGCCACAGCTGCTAACTCTCCTTCGACTTTGTTCATCGAAGTCTAGGGTTCACTATACTCAATCTGATCTACATGAAGAAAGGAATCCCAAAATAGCAGAAGAATTGATTATGCATCACCCGATTTTGGCTAAAGGCAGAAGAATCAATGGATTCGGAGAAAAGGAGAAGAAGGAAGGAGAGAGGAGATGGGAGAGGGGTAGAAAGGGATGAAAAAATGGGAAGGCAACGCATAGAACGCGTTATTTCAAAATAACACATCTGTAGGTGTTTTTTAGAATAACTCGATTTTGTTGTATTCTCAAATAACTCAGCCCACAATACCACATTAACCAAAAATTTTACCAAACGAGTTATACAATGAGTTATTTGGTCCAGAATAACTCATGGAAAAAACTCATCCAAACGACCCCTAACTTGATTTTCACTATGTGTAGGGCGAAAACTCAAGGACCAAGCTTGTGGCAACGCCAAAGCCCCTTAAGTCTTAACATATAGAAGATATAGGGCTGTCCATTTGGTTTTGGTTTTTTGGTTTTAACCGAAACCAAACCAATTGGAAAGCTAATGGTTTCAGTTTTTTGGTTTTAAATCAATAAGCAACTTAATGATTTTGGTTTGGTTAAAACCGAAAAACCAATAGAAACCATTAAGAAACCAATAAGAATAAAATTATTTATCAACTAATATATTTTTTTTTGTTTCTTTTGACACGCATGCCAACCAATAATTTGTTATGGCTATTTACCATTATTATGACGTTTATTCAATAAAAAGGAGGGAAATAGGAATAAATATGAGTGTATGAGTACATGTTGGTTTTTTGGTTTTTGGGATTTGGTTTTTGATTTTTGGTTTTTCATACTTAATGGTTTGGTTAACCAAACCAAACCAAATTGACAGCCCTAAGAAGATATAGACATCGTCAATGCCCAAACCCATTGCATAAGAATAAAGATTTGCAGTGAGGAGCCCATTAGAAAGGAGACTCAGAGTCTGGGATGGACTCCCCCACAGGAGGGATGGGTGAAGATCAACACTGACGGGTCTGTGTTTGCAGAAGACAAAGCTGCAACAGGAGGCCTCATCAGAGATCCATTAGGTCGTTGCCTTGAGGCCTTTGCAATCAACCTGGGTTCCTGTTCAATCACGGGAGCAGAATTAAAAGCAGTGGAAGCGGGGCTCTCTGCAGCATGGAGAAGGGGATTCCGGCGTGTTATCCTCTGCCTGGATTCTACTACGACAATCAACATCATTCAAAATGTGTAGGATACTGATCACAGACACGGCATTCTTGCCCTGGAAATCAATCGTCTGCTTTCATTGAACTGGGAAGTCTCTATCTCCCACACCTATAGAGAGTGCAATTTTGCTGCTGACTTTCTAGCCAAGAAAGGGCATAGTCTGCATTTTGGCACACATTTTGTTGACTCAAATGACCCAGGACTTCGGTACTGGTTATTGTATGATGTAATGGGTTTGTCCCAGGAACGTTCTGTTATTTGTAGTGCTTAGACACCATTGGTGTCTGTTTTGTTACCAAAAAAAAATAAGAATAAAAGTAAAGCAAACCCATTATACGTAGCTAGTGGACCCAGTGGCCCATGAGCACGAGGCCCAAACCTCTGCCTGCAAGACAAGAACTTATCATATCCATTGGACGGGCCACCCAGTCACTTTATAGCCATTGACCCTTCCAAGTTCTAACTCTACCAGTCCAGTCCAACAAATTCTCTTCTCGCAGTCCCGTTGACCTGTCCAGTCGCCCCGATTAGGTACAGAACTTCATCTTTTTAACTGCTCTACGCATCGCGACGCCTGCGGGTAACTTCTCTGCACTCTCCCACAGCAGAATCAGAAAAGTCTGCCTCTCACTCTTTGACTCTGACTCTGAATCTCTCTCACTCCCCAGCAACGCGACGATCTCAGTTGAACCACTCTCCTCTCCTTCCTTCCCATGGCGGTCCACTCTGACGTCTCTTTCTTCACCCTCCCTCTCTATATATAATTCCATATCCATCCCCCGTCCTCTTCATCAACATTCCATCTCCTCTCAGCATCCCATTTCATCGCTCCCCGTCAATTGATCATTCTCAAGTCAATTTCATCCGCCATGGACGCCTCGCCGCTAGCATTGAGAAAACAAACCACCCTCCAGTTGCCGGCTTCGCCATTCCAACCCAGGAGAAGAATCCGGACATGGAAATTGAAGCTCCGCTCCACCTGGCGATCCGTCAAAACCACCTTCTCCCGCAACCTCCTCAAACGATTCCACCACCGGCACCGCGCATCCTCCTCCTCCGTCGCCGCCGCCAAAAAACAGAGCCGAATCGCCCCCTCAAATCCCAATAACCCCCAAACCCTCGCCGCCAAGAGGAACAGCAGCCGCCCGCACAAATCACTGGCGCGTCTCCTCGAGGTTCCCTACACGGCCTCCGATTTCATCGATTGGGGCGACCACATGACTCCCACACTGTCCCCCAAGCGGGACATCTCCGGGCGGTGGCGCGAGCTCCACGGAATCGACGATTGGGACGGCCTCCTCGACCCAATCGACCCTACCCTCCGCTGCGAGATCCTCAAGTACGGCGAGTTCGCCGCCGCGACCTACGATGCCTTCGATTTCGACCCGCTCTCCGAGTTTTGCGGCAGCTGCAGGTACAACCGCCACAAGATGCTCCACGAATTGGGCCTCGCCGCCAAGCACGGCTACACCACCACCCGCTACATCTACGCCATGTCCCACGTCGACGTCCCCCAATGGCTCTCCCGCGCCTACACCACCTGGAGCAGAGACTCCAACTGGATGGGCTACGTCGCCGTCAGCGACGACGCCGAATCCAAGCGAATCGGCCGGCGGGACATCGTCGTGGCGTGGCGGGGGACGGTGGCGCCGTCGGAGTGGTTCAGCGACCTCAATGCCCGGCTGGTCCGGGTCAACGACGCCGTCAGAGTGGTGAAGGTCCAAAAGGGTTTCCTCTCTGTTTACAAATCGAAAGCAGAGTCCACTCGGTACAGCAAAGCCAGCGCTTCAGAACAGGTGACGGAGGAATTGCTCCGGTTAGTGAGATCTTACAGAGAGAAGGGCGAAGCAGAAATCAGCATCACCGTAACTGGTCACAGCTTGGGAGGTGCATTGTCTCTATTAACAGCTTACGAGGCTGCAAGTCTGATTCCTGATGTTTACATTAGTGTGATCTCCTTCGGCGCGCCCAGAGTTGGGAATTTGGCCTTCAGGGAGAAGATGAAGGAATTGGGGGTAAAAGTTCTGAGAGTCGAAGTCGAGGAGGATATCGTCAGGAACCTGCCTGGAATCGTTATGAACACGGTCCTGAAGAAGCTGTCGATTACGAAGCGATTGAATTGGATTTACAGGCACGTCGGGAAGCAGTTGAAGCTGCACGTTTCGAGCTCGCCGTACCTGAAGAAGGAGTCTGACATGGTTGGGAGCCATAACTTGGAGGTGTATCTTCACCTTGTGGATGGGTTCGTGAGCAGAGGGGCTAAATATAGGTGGAATGCGAGGAGGGATTTGGCGCTGGTGAATAAGAACAGCGATATGTTGATACCGGAGCTCAAGATTCCCCAGTTTTGGTACCATATGCCTTACAAGGGACTGGTGCGGAACAGATATGGGAGATGGGTGAAACCTGGTAGAGAACCTGAAGATATTCCTTCTCCATTTTCGTCCGAGTTATCTTGTCGCGAACCTATACTTGAACTCGTTGAATGTTAACGAACATACAAAAAGATTTGTCTTTTTTTTTCTTCTTCTTTCATTGTTCACAATACATTTGTTATCATTTGGATGATTTCTACAGATAGAATTACATTCAATCAATTGTTCCAATGTTAGTTCGAAGAATGCATATGAGATTGCACAATTTCATGACTAATATCAAGCAACGAACAACGATTGCGGACGAACGTTACAAACCACACATTCCATCATACGAATAAGTGTATCAACACGATGAAATGTACGAACATTTGACTGTCATTACATTTCCCAGAATAGTAACATCCCATGTAATTCAAGTTTGCAGTCACCCCAAACCCAAAAGACTCCCTACTATTACACGCAACAATAATTAACTACTGCAATGTCATCTGCACAACGCCGGGGATATAGAAATGTGGAAGGGAAATTTCTTTATCTACATCCCAATTAAGCGAAAGATCCCAACCGCGAGATTGCGTCTTCGTAGTGATCATCGTCGACCTTCTCGGAGCCCAAGCTTGGTGGGACGTAAGTCCTGTAGATTTGTTCCATGTTGGGGTGGTCCTTCAGTTCACCGGCAGCAACTTCAAGAGCTGTGCTGCTGAATGCACGGTAGAACTTCTTCCTGCAGACGAAGGCGAAGATCAAGGTGACGATGGGGAGCAGGATCAGGATTGGCGCGTATACGAATTTCTTCACCCCGAAGTAACCGAACATCAGGACTTGGTACAGCAGCAGAGAAGCTAGGATTCTTGTATGAATGTGTGGCCACATCCTTCCGTAGCTCTCGAATGAAGGGACGTAGACTTTCAGTGCCTGTCATGGATGCGACAACCATAGAAAATTAAACACACCACACTCGGCTAGTTAAAAGATAGCAGCAGCACAGCTGAGGTTCAAACACGCCATACCTGATTGCGAAGAACAAGCCATCCGAGGCCAAAGTAAATGACGCCAAATGGGATGATGAGAGGAGCGATCACAGAGTAGCACATCACAAGCGTGACGACCAGCATGTCGCTGGGAATTCTAGATACATATCCAAGATCACCTGGAGCCCAAGCGGCTTTGATCTCATTCTCTGTCTTGCAAAGATACTTCTTCTTTACATGGAAGATGATCAGTGGCACAATCCGGGACAGCTCGAGCCCATATCCAATGAAGAACCTTCAAGTAAAAGCCATTCCATCTCTACCATGTAAGTAAATAGTATGCAAGGAAAAGAAGTGATGAAACCATAAGGTGTTATTGTTATCTTACTTAAGAGCCACGTAAGTGAGGAAGAATGTAGCACTCCCAGGAAGGCTAGTGGCTAGAATGTCGACAGCAGAGTTGGGATCATTTTCAATGTCCTTGAACGTGTTGAACAAGGTGTTACCGATCGTGACACCGATGAAAACATTCAACACGGTGAAGTAGAAGTACTTTCCTGAGGCGGCTCTAATTGCATGGCTCAGGGAAGGAATCCCTTCCGCCTTGGAGAGGAACAGCAGCAACTTGGCCAGCATGGCAAGGAATACAATGAGGGCAATCTGAGGGAGGTAAGCTTCCAAAACCGTCCTCACTGCACCAATGTTCAGAACCGGTTTTAAGAAAGGGAGGAGCTTCTTCAGGTTGCCCAGAGTGGTGAAGGCCGAGATCAAACCGATTGGGATAAGGTAAAATAAAATGGTCAATGCCACGATGACGTACACAATGTACTGCCTGATCTCCCTCATGAAGAACTTCATGCTGAGATTAGTCCATATCACCTGACGAGGCTCGGGAGCATCCGTGACAGTCCACTTGTTCACCATCTGAGCATGGAGACTCTGTGCAGCCGAAGCAGCAACCACCCTGCTGGTGAAGAACACAATGGCTGCAGACTGATGCTTCTCCAAGAGAGTCAACTTCTGTTCTGCTTCCAGTTTGGAGACAAGCTCATTGATCTTCTCGTTGAAATACTCAATGCTATCCACTTTCTTACCAAGAAGACCCATACAACCGGTTTTGGTCGTGGGTCGAACCCCTTCCGGCTTACCCCCAGTTTCCTTGGACAAAGCAAACACAGCTTCAGCACGCTCCAGCTTCTTCTTGTACCCCTCCAGTTCCTCGTGGATTTTGTTCACCTATGAGCAGACATAAAGATTTTGATAACCTTCTCTATAACGATCCTAATTAATGTAGAGTATAAGATACTATTTTGTTCAGTATTTACCATTTTGTTGTCGGTGACGATCATGGATCTGTAGAAGGTATCAGGGTAGATCGCCTTGAAGTAGGAATCAACATGTTGCTTCATGGTTTCCCCTGAAGGGGGAGGAGGGATGTCCCTAACCAGAATAGCGAATTGCTCAGATTTCACCTCAGGGGACATGAGAGCAGCTGCTCTAAGTGCTGAAACATGGTTGTAAGCCTTCCATAGCGAGTAGTAAGTAACCAGAGAAACCCAGTAAGTGGCGATTAGGAATGCCCATAGCCTCGAGCTCTTCTCCTGAGAATTCATTTTCACCACACCATTACTACAACAACTACACAGGGCCAGCAAAACGAAACCCTAACAACAATAACAACAAGGTGGGTTGAGAGCAAAGCACACAAGTTTGAGAACTGACCGTAACGTTGCCCATGGAGAGCATGTCGAGCTCGTCGAAGGTGTTGTTGCTGACATCGGACTTGCTGCCTTTGATATTGTTGTCCGTTGCCGCAATTGGCAGCAGAACAGGGAGCAGGAGCAACCCGGACAACACGAATATCGCCAACACTGCAGCAGCAGCAGAAGGTTGCCAAAAAAAAAAAAAAAAAAAAAGAGGGTAAATCTGAAGAGCTCAGTAAACAGATAGGAACCCATAACCAGAAACAAATTGAAACCCCCAAATTGAAGTAAACTCCACAAGGAAACCGACAAACAGAGAGTAAGATATTTTTTGCTGAAGCAAGAAAGGCCAAATTGGGAAGGGGGTAGAAATTGTACCGGTGCCGAGGAAGACGAAGTAGACGGCGGTGTCGAGGCCGGAGATGTTGATGATGTCCTGCTCGGTGGAGGACAGAGCTTCCCGGATCCAGGAGAAAGGGTTTCGGGTCCTGGAGGGTCCGCCTTCGAGAGGGTCCATCCCTTTCAAGATCCGGTTTGGGTAGTAGATGACGGAGTTGCCCGGCCGGCGGGAGAGCCAGGCGAAGAGGAGCATTAGGATGATGAAGATGATGAAGGATGTCCCTAAGGACGTTAAGAATGAACTGAAATCCATGGAGTAATCGCCGGAGAACTCCTCGGCGGTTGTCTACTCAGGCGAGAGGAGGTAGTTGGTTCTTGGTTTTTTTTTTTTTTTACAGAAGAGGAAAGAAGGAAGCAGATTGGGCGTCAAGGGAAGGGAAAGGCATATGGAAATGGAAAGTAACCGTTGAGACGGTACGGGGGGAGAAGGAAACTTGAGGAGCCGGAGCGGAGTGTCTTTATGACGGCAAGCAAAGCATTCATCGCTTTATATGATGGGTGGTGTATTTATGGGGAGAAGTTAAGAAATGAAAATGACAGCGACTTACCTTGCCTTACTAGGGTAAAAAAGCCACAGCAAAGGTCATTTAAGTTATATGCTTTACCTTTAGGTTGTCTTTATTGAACTTATTAAAATAAGGAAGACAATTTATGAAACGAAGCGCATTCATCAATAAATAAACAAATAAGTCCGGCTAACGTCCACTTTTTATTTAAAAAAAAAATCTTTTATATTATACAAATCTATTAAAATGATATTATTTATTCAAATATTTTGTAATGCATCAAAATATTAACTATTTTTACGTTATTGTTAATAATTTTGTTACTCTTTTCTTAGTTAAAATTCAAAAAAATTAGAATGTTGATCTTCATGTGTCTTTTTCAGGTCGGTATCATCTTGTCGAGTCAATATTACTAACAAAATTGTTAATTTAAAGTTAACATTTGACTAATTCTTAGTATTTCGATAGTTTTGGATAATATAACAGAATCTGAAAAAGGTTTGTATAAAAAATAGACATTACCCTAATAATTAATAGGGTGTATCAGGGGCGGATCTATGTGTTGCTAAGGGGTGTCGTCCGACTCCTCTTCGCCCGAAAATTTTGTAAAGAACCTATATTTAAAAAAAATATATATGAGATTTCCAACACCACTTTAATAATCATAGCCGATATTCGTTAATTAGGCGACACCCCTCTTCAACAGTTTTGACCGTCACTTGGGTGTATAAACTTTGTAAGTAGCATATGCGAATAATTAGACTAAACTAGAGCTTAATATATCAACACCATGTGTGTTCTTTTTGACATAACAGGGATGACAAAGTTAATGAAAAGGTAGATATGGTCCAGATTTTTAAATCCATAGTTTAGAGGCTGGGCTGTTTTATAAGTGTACAGTTAGCATGCTTTTGAGGATTCTTTATATGAATCGCTATTTGCCGCCCTAATATTTACTATTTGCCGCCCATAGTTCTAAAATATAAGACGATTTTGCCCTTCTTTCAATTAACCCATCCCCTCACGACCTCCTGCTTCCTCCCACAACAGCCGACCATCCCTTCCACCCTGCTAACATTGCCGCCGACCAAACTTCCTCCCTCCTTCCACAACATCCTACCCCCGCCTACAATTTCATTCCTCCGACCCCTTCACCGTTGTTCCCACCGCCGCCGACCCCTCCATTCCTGCGACGACCTGGTGCCGCCGAACCCTCTATTCGTCCGACCTCTCAAAGTCGGCGGCGTTGAAGAGGAAGGAGCTCGCCGCGGGTTCTGTGGTCGCCGACGTAGAGGATGAAGCTTGCCGAGAAGTTAAATCTTTTTTTTTTCGTCCGCTCACCGGCGTAGGACGGGGTCCGATCACCAGAGGCGGATGTGGTCCGCTTGCCGTGGACAGATGGGGTCCGATTGTCCTGCGCGGACGGGGTCCGTATTCCAACGTCGGACGGGATCCGAAACCCGACGTCGCGGATGGGATCCGAAACAGTTGCACTTTTTTTCCAAAATTCGTTTTTAAATTATTAATTATTTATTGAGTAACCAAATAAGTGTAAAATATCATAATTAGGATTTAAAATTATGAATTAATTCCAATTTTATTTCCCTTATTTCACCCAAGATTTATGACGATTTATGACGAGAATGTTGATTCCCTCAATTAACCTACTGACAGACGTTAATTGTATATAAATATTGTATTAAATAATTATCAAGCACCAAACTTTCCCTAATTAACCAATTCCTAATTGTATTTCTCGAACAATACTTAATTACCATAATGAATAATTATGGTATTAAATAATTATCAAGCACCAAACTTTCCCTAATTAACCAATTCCTAATTGTATTTGTCGAACAATACTTAATTACCATAATGAATAATTATGGTAGCTTTTTCTAATTTTAGGGCGGAAATAATGAAATTAATAAAGCAGAAAAATAAATCTTAAATAACAACGGGGCATGTTCTTGAAGTTCTTAATTGATATGAAGAAGGTTTGATTGCTAGTTACTATCACAAACTCACCACAACATCTAATGATTATCTTCCGTAATTAACAACCTCTAATTAACAACCTCTAATTGTATTTCTCAATTTAACAAACCAACGTAATTTCCTCCCAAAACATCTAATGATTATCTTCCTAATTAACAACGGGAAATAAATTCATCCCCAATAACCTACATCTAATTTTATTTTCCTAATTACACTCTCAAATTACTCAAATTATTAATAATCCACGTAGTTATTAATAATTTAATATATATGATCACGGTTGAACAAATAGTTTATCGTGGGTTTATTTTAAATAATTATAAACTATCTGAAATTTAGAGATTCAATCGTCTGGCACTATTCATCATTTTTTAATTTTTACCAAATACACCATTAGTTAGCTGATTTTTCGTAGCCACCATTAATTAGTTGATTTTTTATATTAAAAAATTATAACCCTCCTCTAACCCTCACGTCTTTCTCTCACCATATCGGAATCCGAATTCCGAAAATTACTCCTTAACTCAATCCAATTTTATTTCCCACGTCGCTACCAATAAAAATGGCAATTACCAATGTTTAACACTAATTATGTTAAACTAATTAATTGAATAAACTAAAATGAATTAAATAATCAGGGGAAAAAACCGAACGCTACGAAGCAGCCTTAGGTGTCGTCGCTGGGAAGGAAATCGCCGGCATCAGGCTTTTTTTTTAATCCATCCGTCGGCGGTCGGCCCTGGTCGGACGGGGTCCGCCAGACGTGGTCGGACGGGGTCCGCCAGACGTGGTCGGACGGGGTCCGTCGAACGTGGTCGGACGGGGTTGTCAGTCGTGTTCGGACGGGTCTATTGGCCGTGGTCAGACGAGTCCGCCCGTCGTGGCAGGATCTGGCGACGGCGGCAACGGTGGTCAAGCACCCACGGCAGTGGTGGATGATGATTTGGGTTATAAAAAAACCGCAAGGGTAAAAATGACATTTTTATTAATATAATGGGCGGCAAATAGTAAATATCCTGGCGGCAAATAACAATCCTCTTATTTATGAGGTCAAATTATCCCTATGTTTAGTCCGGCTTTTAGAAGTGCTTTTCGACTTTAAAAGCTGAAACAGGACCAAACACCTGTAAAAACTCGGTTTTTGAAAAGCCGAAAAGCGCTTTTGAAAATATAAGATTATCCTTACCATATTTTAATTTTATTTCAAAAAATATAAATTTCCTTCATTTATATCATTTGAAAAATAAAATAAAATATAAAATCATATTATTGAATATAAAAGAAATCTAACAAGATCCATTTTAACTACTTTTTACTGTTTAGAATTTTTATTCATATTTTATATTATAAGTCTTTTATAGTCATTTTACACAACCTCTCATATTAAAAAGCACTTCTAATAGTTTTACACCCAAACACTCAACTGTTTTTTTTTTAAGTACTTATTTAAAAGCTCCAGCCAGAAGCTGCTTCTGCAAAAGTTACAGCAGGGCCAAACTAAGCTATGTCAATTTTGCCGTAACTAATGAGTTTTCTCTTATTAATTTTAGTTGGGTTGGGTATGAATCTCAAATACAAGATAAATGAGTAGTGTTTGATAGGTTTATATTTATATCCATTAATTTGATTTGTGTTTTTAGTTCATGAATTTGATATTGTACTCATACAAATGAAATGGGCGTTTTGTACATAAACTTCATACATCTTTAGATTTAGTACCTACTTTTTTTTGCACAATATTCTTAAAAACATATACGGAAATACATTTCAGTGCCTAAAATTTTTGTGTCATACATTTTTATACAATAAATTTCTAAAATAGCCTAAAGTAAATAGGCATCCATACCCAATCATGGCTATTTATAGTATGGAAGCAATACACTTACCCTACCCAAACTCATCTACAAAATTTCAAACCACTATAGAGTTCACTCATACCATATCCATAATCAATGAGTTTACTTGGATTTGGAAAAAAATTATCCATGGGTGAGTAATTGTCTTCCCTAGATCAAACCACAGGGTCGACCAAGGGGTGTGTTTGGAGACCATAGGTATGTTAGTTGATTCAATCATATTTTATATCATGAATTTGTGGGTAAAATTGATTGATTATGGTTATATTGACGCATTTAACCTATGAATATGTTAATTAATACTAATACTATGTTATTCATTGGTCAATATTCATATGTATATTAGTATATATACACGGCTAAATTACACGTTTGGTCACTCAAATTATACAAATATTTCATGTTTGCCACCCGAATTACTTTTCTTTCTTATTCACCACTAACTTTACGAATCGTTTCACCGTTAGTCACTCGCCGTTAGACTCCGTTAAGTTTGTCCTACATGCCAGTCAACTATAAAGTTTGACCGTTAACTAAATGACGTGGAAATTAAAATAAATTAAAAAATAATTTTATTTTTCCACCTCATCATTCCACTTACTTTGTCTATATGCTTTATTATATTTATGATTTAATTAAAATTAATTATTAGGGAGAGAATTTCTCCTCCTTCCACGTCATCTGCTTTCCGAGGCGGTGATTGAATGGAGAAGGGAATGAAAGGCAGGGAAGGCGGTGAGGTGAGGTCCCTGTAAATTGATTGTAAAATAAGAAGAGGGTTGGTATCATTGGAAGAATCGAGAAGGAAGGAAGAATGACGAGACCGCTGCTGCTGCCGCTGCCGGCGATGCAATTCGTCGGGCTCGCCGGCGGGTGGTGGAACGAGATCAACGAGTCGGCTCATTGGCAGGACGAGATTTTCTACACTCTCTCCGGCGCTTTTGCCCTCGTCTCGCTGATTGCCTTGGTGAGTTCCCATGGCTTTATCGATTCATCAGATTCCTGTGCGAATCGGCCTTGGTTCTCGATCGCTCGGAACTTGAAACCCTCGCCTTGTCCCGTTGGGGGAGACGAATCTGGCGCTGGTTGTAATGATTCCCGCGCCAAATTCCTAATCTGGTTCCGTATCGAG